TGGAGTTACAGGTGGTTGTGAGCCCCCTAATGTGGGTACTGGGAACCAAACTTGGGTCCTTTTGCAGAGGACAAAGTGCTCTTAACCACTGAGCTGTCTCTCCAACCTGCTTGGAAAGTATATTTAAAATAATAATTTGGAGCCTGGCAAGGTGGCACATGCCTTTAATCCCAGCACTCAGGAGGCAGAGACAGGCAGATAGATTTCTGTGAGTTCAAGGCCAGCCTGGTTTACACAGTGAGCTCCAGGACAGCTGGGGCTGCATAGTGAGACTGTCTCAAAAGAAAACAAAACATAATAATAATGATAATTATTATTATTATTGAGAGCTGGTGAGATGTTCAGTGGATAAAAGGACTTGCCTAGAAAGCTTGATAAACTGACTCAGTCTCCTAGAATTCCTGGAAGGAGAGAACTGACTCCCGAAGTTGTCCTCTGACCTCCACATGTGGCCTGTGATGTGCCCTCACACATCAAACACAAACACAAACATCATATATACATACGAACACAAAATAATAAATAAAATATGGAAAAATAAGAGGCTGAATCTGTTTTTTGTTTATTTGGTTGGTTCTTCTGAGACAAGGTGTTACACTATAGGCCATGGCAAGCCTCCTGAATGCTGGGATTACAGGTGTGAGCCCCATGCCCAGCTCCACTTGTTCTGGGAGAAATCAACTGCTTCATTACTGTCCTGGCTGTGGTCTGGGTGTCTCCCAAAGTCCATGTGTTAGAAACTTATGTCCAGAGTCATGTATTCATTATATGCGGAGGTTGAGGCTTTGGACCAGAGTTAGGATGAGGTCATGAGGGTGGAGCTCTATGATGATGTGAGTGGTTTTGTTTTTGTGCTTATATGTGGGTGCACCTATGTGGGTGCCCTATATGCATGTGTATGCATGTAGCAGTCATTGGACATCCCCAGGGTCATTCCTCAGGAGCCATCCACCATGTTTTTAGAGACAGGGTCTCTCACTGAGCTGGAACTTGCTAAGAGGTCTAGACTGGCTGGCCATTGAGCCCCAGGGATCCACCTGTCTCCACCTCCTCAACACTGGGATTACAAGTGTGTGCCACTGTGCCAGGCTTTTTTAGGTGGGTTTTGGAGATTGAAATCGGGTCCTCATGATGCAAGACAAACACTTCACTGACTAAGCCACCTCTCCCCAGCCCATGAGGGGCTTTATAAAAAGATGCAGAGACTGACACCATTGTTCTGTCTCAAGAGCCAAAATGTGGATGGTGGATGGCAGCCACCAGATGTTGGCACCCTGGTCTTGGACTCACTCCAGAATGGTGAGTCAAATAAACTGCTGTTTTCAAAAGTGACCTAGTCTCAAGTATTTTGTTACAGCAACAGAAGATAAGTGAAGAGTCATCTGTGCTTATTTCCACCTGTGCGTGTGTCTATGTGTGTAAAAGTGTGTAAAGGAGCAGTCTTTTATTGAAAGCAAACCTGTAATTTTTTGGATAGTAGTAGAAACAAGGCCTGGGTTTAATTGGGATGGAGATAAGAGAGGGTGCGATGAAAACCCTAAGAGTCACATCTCTCACACACATGGCACTGACCTTGGTTTCTACCGGATTGCCCTGGTGGACACCCCCAAACAGAAATCCCACGGTGCCTCGTGGATGCGGTGGAGGAGAGACTTCATCAACCAAACAAGCCTAAGTCCTCAGAGGTAGGGTGGGTCAGTGAGCCCCATACTCCTTCTGCCCTCCTTGAAGCGATTCTGGAAGGCTGGCACAACCCTTCCCCACTCATTCCTTCTCTCTTCCTTACGGGAATCTGATATGGGCGTGAATCCATCCTCTACATGGTACCCCAGGGACTGCCATGGAACCTGGAGAGATGGCAGTAGCCAGACGAGGTCCCCTTCCTAGGGAAACCTAAGGGCTAGAGAAGAGCGGAGGGACACAGAAAAAAGTCCAAGAGGAAGGCGCCAGACGCCACCGTCACGGGGAGGAGGGCAGGGCACTGGGCGAAGTGTCCAAGAAGGCGCAGCTTACAGCACAAAACTTTCTGCTTTGTCTGCCTGTATATGATTCTAGCTGGGCATCTTTACTCTTTTTTGTCTGGTGCTGGGGACCTACCCAAGGGTTCCTGCGCGCTTGGCAAGCACTCAACCTCTGGGTCACACTCCAGCCCTATAAACGTTCTTAAGGCTGTCTGTGAGATTACCCCAGGTAGGCCCTTCCCAGCAGAGGACCACACAGCTGGTAAGTTGCAGAGCCAGGGATTTAAACCCAGATCAGGTTTGTGGCCAAGTTTGCCAGCAGCAGCTGTAAATTTTGCTGCTGTTGATCAGGGGGTGCCTAGGGATCTTTTGGAAGCTGTTTCCTCACCTGTCAAAAGGGGGTGACGAGGGAGGAGCGGGTGCAAATCAAGGATGATACGTATTGGGGATTTGTAGGCTCCTGCCCATCCCGGTGACCAGAAAGCCAGCCAGGCACCCAGAGGGTCCCCAGAATGTCCAGGTAGCCCCCCCCCCGCAATTTCCCACCAACTTCAGACATCTGCTCTCAACACAGCAATCCTGTATTTAGGTTGGAAGGCTTGGGGAGATGCACATAGGCGTCCAAACACTAAAACCACTTTACAATGAGAAGCTAAGAGGTGACTGCCCCTACAGCCTGCAATTCCAGGGTCAGCCCCCACCTGCAAGGGCTCATGGGAGCCCAGAGAGCAAATCCCTAGGTAGTGGGGAATGAGGTGATGCTGACATCTGGAGAAAGGGGAATTGCAGGGCAGGGCAGGGCAGGATAGGATAGTGGCACCAGGCTGGGTGACTGGACTGCTCCCAGGCCACCGGAACTGACTCTGTGGGCTCAGTCAGTGCCCTGGCAAGGACCCTGCTTGCTCCAGGGACCCACTGGTGGAGGGCTGTGGCTCCCGGTCAGGGTGTTTCCGGGGCTGGCTGAGCCCCTTCTGCCAACTCAGTCTTTCTTTAGATTTGTTAATCCCTCAGTGTGGCTAGGCTGGGTAGGGGCCCAGGCTCTCTGGCTGGCTCTCCTGCTGTGGGGCACCCAGAGGCTTCACATCGTAAATGCCAAGGGCTCCTGTCATGTGGGGCCCACGCAGGTGCCTGGCCCTCCACTTCCTGCCCCGACTCCCTGCCAGCTGGCAGGAGGAGCCTCAGCTGGCCTCTCTCACTGCAGGGAAGTCCAATTTCCAGTTTCCCCCAGGAGGGCAACTCCCAGCTGTGCCCAGTGCCAGCTCAGCTCTGGCCTCCCTAGATCAGGACCTCTAAAAGCCTCAAGCCTTCAGCATGGCTCCAAGGTCCTGAGCCCAGGACAGCTTTGCCAAGAGTTCTGCCCTCCAGTTCTCAGCTGCCACCGGAAGACCAGCAGGTGATCTGGGGGCCGGGAGGAGGCTGTGCTGTGCTCACTCATCCCTGTCCCCTGCCAGGCTGAAGGCCTTGCCCACTCCCTTGCAAGGCAATGTCCATGACACTTGGCCCAGCATTGGGCCGGGAGTAAATGGAGGCACTGGCATCTTGGAAAGCTAGGGTCTTATGAGTTGTGAGCCTGCTGTGTTGGGGGTGGGGAACACAGGGGCACTTGGGGCTGAGAAATGGTTAGACCGGATCTGAATATCAAGATTCTGGAAGGCCAGTGTAGGGCAGTGGGTGCCCACTAGAAGCGGGGGGTTTCCCGTGTGTGCCCACTACCTGTGGCATTCAGTATCAAGGATGGCAGAAGCAATCTCAGTGTCTCTGGAATGTATTTGGAGCCAAGCCCTTATGAATATCTTAGAGAAAAATGTTTAGTAATAAACCAGAAACAAACTAAAATCAATTGTTAGCTGTGTCCAACAAAAACCGGGAAAAAAACGGCACAATGGGTTCCCACGCCACAGGTGACCTGCTGTGCGGAGTGGAAGCAGAAAACACAGAGGGCATGTGCCAAGACCCTTGGCATGGTCAGGATGTGCCCACTGCCCACTCACAAGTTGGCCTGTGGTCACACAGCTGAGGGCAAAATGAGCGAGCTCTGGTTTTGAAGAACTACACTGTTGTGTTTCCCCACCCCCACCCCAGCCGTTACTCCACGACCCTTCGCAGGTCACTGTACCTCAGTTTCCCATCTGTGAAAGGGTGTAAGAGCACGTCCCCACTCAAGATCAAAGAGGGAAAATGTAAGTTGGCCTTGGCTGGACTTGAGGGTCGCAAACCCCCACTGAGAACTCCTACTGTGCCAGGTGGGGAGGAGGTTGGCTTGTGGGGGTAGAGAATTGGGGAAGACTGGGGCTCGAGGGCGGTGTCTGCTGCCTCTACTGGAGTTTTGACCTCCTTCCCACCCCCAAGGCCTGCGGCACTTCCTTACCTGTCCCTGACATCCACCAACCACTGCTTGCCCCGTTTATGACTGCAGCAAGCTTAACTTCTGGCAGGTCCCGAACACCAGCTTTACTTAAATCTGAGTCTTACTTAGGTCCAGCCCTGACTAGTCCTGAAAGTCACCTAACCAGTCTGTGCCTTGATTTCCCTAGATGCAAACTGGGAACTACAACGCTCCCCACCTGGGGGTGGGGTGATTACCCTAAAGAGCAACTAAGACGGTGGCAACAGACTAGCGTTTCCACCACAGCTTTAGGTCCAGAAGTCACCTAACCAGTCTGTGCCTCGACTTCCCTCGGTGCAATCCGGGAACTACCACGCTCCGGATATCCCTAAGGGAGTAACCACAACGGTGCAGCAGACCCTCCCGCCCCCTGGGATGAGGCTGTGACCCTCGGTATTGTTGCGTCGCACCCCTGCTCCCCACTCTGCAACATTCAAGGGGTGGGGCCTCCCTGTACCCCTGGCGTGGGTGCAAAACAAACCGCTCCGGATCCTCCACCCCCAGCTCCCGGAGGACCCAGCCGCGCCTTCCGTGCATCCCACGGAAGCAGACGCGTGGCGCGAGCCCTGGCAAAGCTCGCTCCCTCCTCGTTCGGGGAGGTCTTCAGGGGCGTCGGAGCTCCCACAACAAAGAGCCCCGCCTCCGGGAGGGGAGGGTTGCAGGGCTGCGAGGCTGCACGGGGCTCGGGAGCTGTCCCTGGTAGGTGCATGGGCCCGGGGCAGGGACGGGAGGAGGGGGGCGGCTGCGGACCTAGGTGGCGCCCGCGGGGCGACGCCGCCTCCACCGAGATTTAAAGGGCAGCCGGGGCGGAGGGATTCCTCCGCGCAGGGCGCAGCGCAGGCCACGACGCGGCTGGGCTGTGGGCCGCGGCGAGGAGCTGCGTCCTGTGCTCCGCTCGGCAGCAGCGCGGCCGGCGCTCGTGCGCGCGGTGTCCCTCCGCCCCGGACGCGCACTCCTTGCCGTGTCCTTCCGCCGCGCCCGGGCGGTGTCCGGCTGGCTCCCCCGGC